ATGGGGTTATACCTAAGTCAAGGGTAAAAGGGGGTTTCAGATCATCTTTCTGTGGACTTGGCCCAGTGTTGGGTGGGGATTGAATTGCTCCTAGAGGTAGGAGGGTAGTATTTCTATCCTTGAGGTTATCTTTCAGATATCTCCATGTTATTCTAACCCTATTGTCTCCTCCTTTCCCTAACACTGAAGTGGGAGGTTGGGTTCCACTTCAAGAGCAGTGCTTTTGGCCAGGCTTTGGGACTGCCTGTCAGCTGTATCCGCTGGGGGTGGGGAGAAAGAGCTTAATCAGCACTGCTGCCTGCCATACCCATTTCCTGCTCTCATGGCCAAGAGGCTCTGGAGGAAGCTGGGCTCTGGGGAAGTTGGGGGCTAGATTTTTACAGGCAGTTCCTCTGTTCCCTGGTTTCTTTGGGTAGGATTCCCTTCCTCGTTCAAACTGGAGCCCCTGTACTTAATAGAGAGCGGATCAGGATGAGAGGGTTGGTCAGTGGCTGAAAAATAGAGTTCAGGGGTGAGGGAGGGAGAAATAGTGGTGGGCAAAGGAGGGATGCAAATAATGGATATGAGAGTAGAAAAGCAGCAGGGATTAACAGAGTCTATGTGTCTGCATTTTAGAATTTGCTTAGTGAAGGGTGGTGAATTGAATCCTGCATTTCACAGCCCACATCTCTGAATAGCACTGAGGAAGAGAGCCTTGTGGCACATAGCTACAGACTCTGATGCTGGACTAGGAGTAGTCCCTTAGGCCTATTCCAGTTTGGTCTTGTGACCCATGACTAGCCTGCATGCTGACTGAATTTGCATTAGGGAGTCCATTCCCCTGAGACTAAGACGGCATCAGTTGTGCCTGGTGTTCCTAACTGAAACCATGACTTTCACTGTGTTTATAAGCCAGCAAGCAGAGCCTGCAGGTAGTGGGATAAGGGGCAGAGGGCTGTTGGATAGCTGGAGGTGGAAGTCCAGTGGGAAAAAAGGCTGGGCAGCTGAGAAGGATCAACAGATTTGAAAGATTTGTGGAGGGCAAGATACAGGCACTTTGGTCATTTTGTGGGGTGCCTGTGGAGACTGTATACTTGTGTCTTTAATTATTAACTTACCACTGAGGAGGCCTGGAGCTATGGGCACATTTTTTGCCCAGCCCTGTGATAAGGTTTGGTTGTTTATTAGGCAGCAAGGCAAGCATTTGTATAGTAAAGGACTGACCCT